AACAAAAACACAATTTTTAAAATCTTTGTCTATCTTTCTTTGTGTCTGTTTGTCTGTCTGTTTGTTTGTTCCAGCTAATCTCCGAATCGGCTGAACCGATTTTGACGAGACTTTCAGTGCAGATAACGGATATTATATGGAGGAACTTAGGCTAATTTTAATTTAGAAAAAGAATTAGGGTTCCGTGCAAAAATTTAAAACCCATGAAATCCAATCGTAATAAATTACACGGCGAAGTCGCGGGGAACAGCTAGGTAATAGATATGAAATGATATTTTTAATTTATAGGAGTCACGTCAACTAAACGCGCACGGCTGCGGCTTCATCGATCGAGAAATGAAATCCGTTCCGTATATAGGTATATATGTATATAAATAACGTTTCCGATATATTAACACTTCAAAAGATATTTTTATTCATGATAAGGTTAGTATTAAAACACTTTTAAGAAATGGGTCAGATATTATGATAATTTTACTCATTATGGTAAATTTTATTTATATAATAAATGTGTTATTTATTTTTATCTGTTTATTAAATTACCGATCTGTAGAGCGGGCGACACCCCACTGATACTAACTTGCACTCCGTTTACGGTGAACCCAAAAAAAACCCGTGGGCATGGGCACATTCTGAAGGTCTTATGATGACCAGATAATGCTTATCGGTTTTCAGTAACAGAAATAGTTAGGATGGCCTAGCTTTTTATGTTTATCTAATTGAGCTCTCGACGTGTTACATACTAAAGTTGAAGCACACAAACGTCATGAATTAAAATAAGTTATACAAAATAAAATCCGTAAAGTTTGTTTTATTAAATGTGTAGTATTCGTGTAATAAATCAGTCAAAAATCATTCAATTCTAAATACTGCGTACAGGTAATTTGGTCATTTATAGGAATTGGTGCTAATGGTGCTTGTAGGTTTTCTTGAAGTACACATATATTTTCGTCTTCTGGTTGTAGTTGGTTATGCTTTTTCCGTTCTGCCTTTTTTTTATTGCCTGTAAAATATATGGTCGATTTCTAATTTTGTACCTACTTAGGAGTTTTGCTGCTTTTAATTGCCTGAAAACATTATAAAGTGAGTAATAATACTGTTTGTACTATTTATTATATTTATATTACTTGTGTAGTTACTTCTTGAGCCCTTCCAAATGTGCCCAAACACGATGGTGTTTCGAAGTGGCATAACTGAGATCTTTCACCCCACCTTCTTTTTTCACCATCATGAAGTTAATATAATCACATTAAACTAGGTCTTTATGAACCCTTTCAAATGAGTTCAAACACGATCGTTCTATCTAGTGCCGTCACTGAGATCCTATACCCACCTTCACATTGCACCATCAGAAAGGTGAGGTCATAACAGCCACCTGGGTCTTTATGAGCCCTTTCAAATGAGTTCAAACACGATCCTTCTATCTAGTGCCGTTACTGTGATCCTATACCCACCTTCGGATTGCACCATCAGAAAGGTGAGATCATAACAGTCACCTAGGTCTTTATGAGCCCTTTCAAATGAGTTCAAATACGATCCTTCTATCTAGTGCCGTCACTGAGATCCTATACCCACCTTCGGATTGCACCATCAGAAAGGGGATATCATAACAGTCACCTAAGTTTTATGAGCCCTTTCAAATGAGTTCATACACGACCGTTCTATCTAGTACCGCCACTGAGATCCTATACCCACCTTCGGATTGCATCATCAGAAAGGTGAGGTCATAACAGTCACCTAGGTCTTTATGAGCCCTTTCAAATGAGTTCAAACACGATCGTTCTATCTAGTGCCGCCACTGAGATGCTATACCTACCTTCGCATTGCACCATCAGAAAGGTGAGGTCATAACAGTCACCTGGGGCTTTATGAGCCCTTTCAAATGAGTTCAAACACGATCGTTCTATCTAGTGCCGCCACTGAGATCCTATATCCACCTTCGGATTACACCATCAGAAAGGTGAAGTCATAACAGTCATCTTGATCTTTATGAGCCCTTTTAAATGAGTTCAAACACGACCGTTCTATCTAGTGCCGCCACTGAGACCCTATACCCACCTTCGGATTGCACCATCAAAAAGGTGAGGTCTAACAGTCACCTAGGTCTTTATGAGCCCATTCAAATGAGTTCAAACGCGGTCTTTCTATCTAGTGTCGTTACTGAGATCCTATACCCACCTTCGGATAGCACCAACATAAAGGTGATATCATCACAGTCATCTAGGTCTCCATTTACCTAATTGAAAATGAGTCCACGTAGTAGCATCACTGAGATCCTTTACCCACCTTCTGAGTCCACTATAAGGAAGGTGACATCATTACCATCACCTTGGTCTCCATCCTCTGTCAAAGCAACTTCTCTAAATATATATGACGGCTCGGTGGCGCAGTGGCTTACCAATGAATTGCGGCGCGGGTTCGAATCCCGCACGGAACAAGTATTTGTATGGCCTACAAATGATTGTTCCGGGTCTGGATGTTTGTCCTTGTGCAATTTGTGTTTGTAAACTGCCTCCACGATATAGGAGAAAATCCTAGTGTGGGGGTAACGTTTTTTTTGAATGAAAAAAATATATAAAATAATATAAAATCATAAAGAATGTTATAAAAAATTATAAAATATATATAAAAGCTACTAAGAAAGTAGTAAGAAAGTATGTACTTACCAATAATGAAAACGAACTGAAGCCAGTGGATTACGGTGCGCCCGGAAAAATACGTGGATTGCCGTCAGTTAAAAATTTTAACTTAAGATTTCACATTCACGATCAGTTTTTGGATGTACTTCAGTTCAACGGAGCAGTTTAACTGACGGCACGCCCGAATAAAATCCGTGTGTTGCCTTCAGTTAAAAATTTCAACTTAAGATTTCACATTCACGGTCAGTTTTTGGATGTACGTCAGTTAAACTGAACAGTTTAACTGACCGTGAGTGGGGACCATTTTTTGAGTCATTCGTTCGACTATTATTATTATTATAACATTACATTAACGTATTCGGTAGTGGGTTACTTAAGTTATTCGGGATTTTTATTACTTTCTCATTTAATGGATAGTTGAAATAGATGAATCGGTTTTATAGAAGTAAAAAAAGAAGATGTCTATGGTCCACAGTAACCACTTACTATCAGGTGGACTGTTTGCTCGTTTGTCAATCTAATTCTATAAAAAAAATATTCTGCTATACTGGCAGATAGCTGTTGTTACAAGGAGTAACTCAAGGCACTCTTATTTTAGAAAAAGATTCAGGGATCCGCGTAAAAAATTTAAAACATAAAGTTTTGATGAAAATCCTATTCAAATAAGTGTAATAATCTATACAAATAAATAAAATTGGAGTGTCTGTTTGTAACGTCAAGGCAACAGCTTTTCACTAAATGCATATGAAAGTATATATGGTACTTATAACAAAAACACAATTTTTAAAATTTTTGTCTGTCTGTCGGTCTGTCCGTCTGCCTGTCTGTCTGTCTGTTTGTTTGTTCCGGCTAATCTCCGAAACGGCTTGACTGATTTTGATGGGACTTTCACTAGCAGACAGCTGATGTTATAAGGAGTAACTTAGGCTAATTTTGTTTCAGAAAAAGAATTAGGGTTTCGCAAAATAAATTAAAAACCTAAATTACACGCGGGCGAAGTCGCGGGCGAAGCTAATTTAGTCTAAAGAGGTAAGAACTGAAGTTCTATATTGCTTACAAAACCTTAAAGGAACAATAAAACAAACCTTCAGTAGTGAAATCTATATTTTAATACGTGAAGAGAAAATTATGTACCCCTTTTTAAGCACGCTCGGAGGATTGAGATATTTGGCATACTTAAAGTTTATATGGCGAAGGAGTGAAGAAAGATAAAATTTGTATTTATGTAATATTAGCTGTTCCCCGCGACTTCGCTCGCGTGTATTTTTTTTTATGGTTTAATATTTTTGCGAAGAACCCTAACTAGTTTTCTAAAATAAAAGTAGCCTATGTTACTCCTTATGACATCAGCTATCTGTCATTGTGAGTCCCGTCAAAATCGGTCCAGCCGTTTTGGAGATTAGCCGGAACAAACAGACAGACAGACAGAAAAAAATTTTAAAAAGCGTATTTTTGTTATAAGTACCGTTTAAACTTTCATATGCATTTAGTAAAACACCGTAATTTTGACATTACAAACAGACACTTCAATTTTATTTATTTGTATAGATTTATTACAAATACATTAAATTAAAAAAAACATTAATTTTTTACGTTCATACTGCCAAAGTCTAACACATAATCATCTGTGGCCAAACATTGGCACAGGGTAGAGATTGTCACCATCTCTCGGTAGTGTTCTGTGGTGGCCAAATAATTATAAAATTTTGCCAACAAATTGTGTGTGATTTCATACGTACTTTTTCAATGGTCTGTGAAGTGTATGTCAAGGCAAAAAATCGTTTTGTATATTAGAATTCTGTATAATATAATATATATTAATGAGCAGTTGACAATGAAATACAGCTTGTTTAGTATACACCTGTTGCAAAAGGAAAATTTTGTAGCAGCAATTGACTTACTTTTGCCTAACTTTAATAGCTATTAGCGTTTTTCAAAAAAAAAAATGCAATAACTATAGAAGTTTCCTTTTTGACAAAAGAACCTTAATAACGTTTAAATTAAAAAAAATATTTAGAATTACGGTGGAATTTGACCACCGAGTGACCATTAGTTTGGATAAATATTCTTGCGAAGTAACATTTTACAGGCATGGATTCTCAAAGCATACGTTAATAGCCCCACCGTTTATCGCAAAACGATGATTATGTAAGCGGCAACGTTAAACCTTTTTTTTTTTGTTAGCAACACTACAAAGTCGCTACAATCTTCTTTAGTAGCGCGGCAACAGTCCAGTGTGCGCTTAGCGCTGAAAGCGGCGCTCATCTCGCTTGAATAGCCCAGCTCGCTATTTGCAGAACAATGCAGGCTTGATGTGCGCACGCCGGTGGGAAAGCGCGGGAGGGAAAACGCGCGAAGCTACTGCCAGTCTCGGGCCGCGAGCGCGAGCGGCTGCGCGCCGAACACGCAAAATACGTAAGCGCCCTGGCGAACGACGAACGCTGCGCTCGCCGCGGCGTCACGTTCTCCGGATCGACCGCGAACGGCAACACTACCACCGTGACTGAATTTCAGTGTCAAAAGGTTGGTGACCCCCTTATACAAGTGCAATCCAAATTCAACCCAAACGATATAGATCTAAAGCCTATATTGCAAATATCAATGCCACAAATGTGGCGTAGTAATTTCCTCGTACCGATGTCGTAGTAATCTCGTTGTACGATTCCTAATACCTACTTTGGGCAGGGCAAATATTTGAAAGGGTAGTATTTTTTTCTAATGTAAAAAAAAAAAACAAACACATGAAAATTTATACTTTTACGTATGCTTATAAAATAACTTGTCACTAAATAATTTTACGAGCATCTTAAGCTGTATGTCGAGATTTTTGGATAGTAATACAACGAACAACTCGATTTAATGGCGTAAATGGATTTTCGTCGCACATAATGGCACATTAAAACACAGCTTTTGTTTATACCGTCCACGTTACGATACCTAAAGGGGTTCACGTTTCCTGACGATTGAGTAAACTGTAAACACCAGTTGTTAATAGGAACTAGCATTAAGAGAAATTGTGACCCACATGTTGCGTCTTACACTGGAATTAGATTGAGGGAATGCGTTCACATGAAGTCGCGTAACTAAATCAAGCCAAGGGATATGTCATGCCCCAGAAATATAGTAGTTTCAACGCAAACTACCAATTGATGAGATCATCCTATCGAAAATAAAAAAGCTATCGCAGATTGTGCATCATACTACAATCGTCTTTATATTAAAGTTAATAAAATACTTACTGAAATTTACGTGACCTTACGTTTAAGGGGCTTACAGAGATTTAAGTCCTACTCCCTGTAGACTACGGCATTGTTTTTCCATGTCATTATACTATATAAATATTGAGTATTGAATAAAACTATTTTTAAGGATTTTTCGCGTTATTTTTACTTATTTATTTGCGTAAATATGATCGTAAGCAATAATTAAAAAGCTGAAGGTGTTCTCCGTCAATAACTTTGACTTTTTAACTTTGACTTCGGGACCTCAATCACCTCAGTACCCCCGTAACCATTTAAAACGTTGGAAATTATAAATAAGTAAAATTAAACACGATAAAATCTGTAAAATAATTTTATTCAATGTGTAGTGTTCGCGTAAATATAAGAAATCATTAAATGTTATATTAAAAATTTATATTATATATCTGGACCGTACTGAGTTATATGCCATATATAACTCAGATAAAAGGCTGTTATTTTTATTAACACATTGAATATTGAAATTTCTGTACTAGCGTATGAATTCTATAGGACAAGCAGCTGTTGCAGTCTCGTCAACTTTGTCACTACTTAATATACGTGATAAGGGTTACTTTCATAAAATGTAGTGAACATCTGTTAAATACTCTATATTTCTAAAAAATAAAAATAAAATCAATGTACAATTACGCCTAAGAATATAATTTATTTTAATGACCGAACTTCCTGCAAGACATTCTCGTCTTGGGAATGAAAAATGACTGTCATTTCCCAAGCATCCAACGAATGATACGTTCCATAATATGTATGAAGATAATATATATCATTTATTAATAATATTATTATTTATATTAATTATAGATAAGCAGACCTAAATGAGTTTTATACCTCTGAATTCTATTACTTATTAGGCCGTAGGATGGTAAGTAAACTCTTATTCAGGCTGTTAATTTTTAGGTTTAAATTTAATTATTTTTATAAAACCTCTGTTTTGTTTTCGCGGAAATGTATTTTGCAAATAATTTAGTTTTTGATTGTGTGAGAGTCTTCAGTACATTATTTATCTTTTAATTATATTTTAAATAAATAAAAATAAAAAAGCGGCTAAAGTGACAATATTTCCACGCCAAACTTTTAGTCGATTACCATCAGCGTCACGCTCAGTGTCACCATCGTCATCAGTACAGTCCATCTCAAGTCCACTATTGAACATAGGCCGCTCCCAAGAATGCCACAAAGAACAATCCTGAACCAACTGCATCCTTCGGCAGGTCATCACACAATCTAGGGGGGGGGGGGGGCACTCTATATTTCTTTTACCGATACGATACTGCTTTCGAGAACTTTTCTTCCTTATCGGTTGTCTGGGGGGACATGGCTCTAATAAAAAATACCAGTTTCTAGCTAAATGTACGGACCTCTGAATGGAATAAAAGTTGTTCCATACCATGAATAGACGGGTAAAAAATCAGCTGTATGGAAGGTACCCAAAATAAAATTGTTTTTCAAATTTTTATTTCAAACTTTGTTGGCGTAATTAATATATATAACTATGAATAAATAATATAAACTATGAAAATATAATATATAATATAATAATAAATTACAGCTTAGCACCTAGGGCACCTAAGGTCTCTGACGGAACCCTAAAAACATACACTCGAAGATAACATCGAAAAATCCGATAACTTCCAACTTTCTTGTAGTCGACTAATAACATCGGCGGTAGCTTCACATGCACTGTTAGAATACACGCCAATAACTATTTTAAACTAGTTGATGCTTAGGAATACAACTACCACTTTTAATTCACCGTCATTTAAAAATAATATTATTTTCTAATAAACACAAGTCATCGATAAACCATGACTGCTTTTGTAACTTGACGCTATAAATATGGGTCTGCGATCGCCCACTGGTTGCCAGGCGTGGCAGTGTTATCACATACCATCTACGGACAGCTCCAACAATGGTTCGTCTTGGGAGAAGCGCTCTCTTTAACCATGATTTCATATTATTATGATGAATATATGAAATTATCGTATCAAGTAAGCTATTCTGATAAAAGACCGTTACTTATTAATTGGATACACATTATTTCTTCTTTTGAGGTCGTCTTTAATAAATATTAAATGTAAAAACAACTCGGTAGCGCAGTGGTTTAGCGTTAGAAAGCAATGCAGAACGCGGGTTCGAATCTCGAAAGTAGCTACTATTAGTTTAGTCGAGAAATAATTCTGGATCTGCATATTTGTCCACGTATAAAAACGACTTCATGATACTCGAGAAATTTCAAGTTTGGAGTAGTCTGAAAATAATAAACTAGTAGTCAATACAAATATTTAAGCTCGTACAATTTCTATAGAAATTTATGTTTCATGCCGCAACTAAACCTACGGCTGCAACACGAATGGGTGAGCTTGGCAGGGAGAGACCACGCTCTCACAGAATACTTTACTGAAATCCTGGTTCTTAATCAAGAATAAATGTATCTATGGCGTGGTGATATCTATGGGCAACATCATCCACTTAGATACCATCAGGTTGACAGTGTGTTCGTTTGTCACCCATATTTTTAAAAATTTTAAATCTGCATTCTTTTTTATCTCTTCTACAGGATCCAGGTGTCTTAGGCGACTTAAGAAAATAGGAAATTTTACGTGGTAGAGCCATGCTGCAGATACTTTATTGTGGCACAAATAGGTCGGATCGACCGGGAGAGGTCTACAGTCTCACAGATTACCAGCGTGAAATAGCAGCTCAATGCTGCTGTGTTTCGCGTATGGTAAGTGTAGAGAACCGGAGGCCCTTTTTACTGGATACGACGCACTCCATCTTAGTCCTAAGGGCTAACAACGCATCTGCATTTTCTTTTTTAATCGAGGATAGATGTAGATATTTATGGGCCACAGCATCCACTTACCATCTGTGGTAAGTGGATGCTGTGGCCCATCCAGGTGGGCTGTGTGCTCGTTTGTCACCCTTATTTTATAAAAAATGCCAGTAAGATCTCATAGCCACCAATAAAAGACTGTACAGCAAAATAGTAAATGTTAAGCGGCCAAATACCAAAGATGCGAGACGTTTGGTACTGCAAACGCCAATTCATCTCTCAATATGAGAGCAATATGAGAGCAAGCCCGTTCTGCTGTAAACTGTCACGCTCTATTGAAATAGAAGCAGAAACAAACTTTATTTATCAGAACAGAGAATACCCTGCACTCATATTCTCCTATAATTAGTTATAAAGTTGTCCTGGCCACTATGAGCTCAGTAACAATTAAAAAAAATTAACAAATATTCAATCAATGATCAACGACATTTTCTGCCACCTGGGCGGCGTCACTTAAAATTGAGTAATAATATTTGACAGATTTCATAGCGGGGAAGTTACTTAGTTCGGAAAATGTAAAGGTTAATGTTTATTTTTGTATTATTAGCTATATTTTATATTAATTAGATTAAAAATATAAAAAACCAAGCCACAGATATTCATAAAAGTAGATTTTTTTTAAAAGTTAAAAATGTGCAAGAAACTAAAGAGCAAACCACTGAGGAATTGTTTTGTGCATTAATATAATACTCTAGAAAATGATCAAGTTTTATTTAAAACTAACTTCTCAATTAAATGACATTGAGTAACAAAAAACTTTACCTCATTGTCAACTAGCGACATCTGGTGAGTAGAAAATTATTAGCCCTCATTAAGTATACATAACGTGACAGGGCAAAGGACCACGCTCTCACAGAATATCAGCGTAAAATAGCAGCTTAATTCCTTTAGAGAACCGGAGACCCTTTACAGTGGAAACGAGGCATTCCATTTTAGTCCTCAGGGGTGACAACGCATTCTACATTGTGATTCTTAGTCGGGGATACATGTAGATATTTATGGGCCACAGCATCAACTCACTATCAAGTGGCCTGTGTGCTGGTTTGTCACCCTTGTTCTATAAGAAAATATCATCTCAAATCTAAAAGTTGCAATTACATTAAATGGCAATTACAAGACAAATTTGGACCAAATAAGTAATAACTATGGAATGAAAGACACGTTAATTAAATGCCGAATGTTAATTGTTAGCAGTCGTTAATAATTACACAGCGGCCTACTTCACCACACAACTTGGGGGCAATCAATTCCGTTGCAACATTAACAACAATTACTTCCTTCCATTGTTGGCGATGAAAATTACGAGTAAAAATAATTTAAACAGACAGTTGTTATAATCATTCTGAACGTATGTATTATTTTTTCTTTTACAAGAATAAAAGTTACGATTTAAACATATGCTATCCACTTAATTATTGGGATACAACATC